TTCAATGATATGCACAATATATTTGGAAATATACACACAGGTTACGTGTGGCTTTTTATGTGAAAAGGAAAACAACTCTCATAATCTGATATAGACTTTGAGTTGGAATGAGGTTCAAGATGGGATTTGGAGAACTTTAGCAGGCACGTCTTTTGTTGATTGGCACATCTCTGCGCATTGGCTTCCTGGAGGCACCTGATTGGCTGCTCTGGGCACCCGGGTGCAGGCCTGCATGAGCCCCTTTTCTGACCCAGCAGGGCTCCCCTTGCATCCTCTGTTCCGAATGGGCCTCCTGAACTTGGAAGCCGTGCACCAGTGTAGTTGCTCGTGCAAAGAAAGAACACACACCTTTAGCCAAAGGACAGCAAGTGTTGCTGCAGCTTTGCATCAGCATGACTCATCTTCAGGGGAGGTCACCCACGTTGGAGAGGGGCTGTGGGCTCACACGGAGCCTTTACATGCATCGTGTCTCATCTCTCATGCCACATGCTTGGCGAATTACCGGTTCTGAGGCAGAACAGGAGTGACTGGTCCAGCAGAGTCACCCAGGTGGTGCTATACCTAAACAGGGATTTGAACCTAGATCTTTCCTATTTAAATAAGACACCCGCTAAATCTCAGGCACCGGCACACCACTGGACCCTGTTTTGGTACCTGCCAAGTTGCCCTCACTTCTCAGTTTTATTGATATAGAGATAAGGATAAATTAGGTATAGATATCACAATTCATTAACAGCAACTAGGATCAGTTCAAAGCAAAGTGATGGCCTCCAGATGCTTCCATCTTAATTTCCCATGAGTGCCACATGGGGCTCAGAGGCATTCTTAGGAAAGGAAGATGGAAGATGGCTGCCCCACCCCACACCACTGTGTCCAGTCACCAGCAGAAGAAGGCAAAAGAAAGAAAGAAAGTGGATTCCCCTTACGTCTGTCTGGTAAGCTGGCAAGCCAAAGAGAAAGGAGAGAATCACCTGGATGATAGAGGTGGAGGAGAGAGAAGGGATTGGCCTTCTGTGAAATAGGTTTCTGTTAGTGCTGAAAATGATGCCTTCAAACAACGTCAGGCCCCCACCTCTGCCTTTCAGATGGATATTTGGACCCATTACTTGCCCTTGCACTAGCCACACCTCCCATAGCAGACATTTCATGGTGACGACCTGGGCAGTTTCTCACATTGCCAAATGTGCCAACATGTTTACCCACTGCGCAGCTGGCCCATACTTTCCCTTGTCTCTCATGCCACACCCCTTCCCCCCTTTCCCATCAGATGCAAAGCAAAGGCATTCCTGTGGACAGGATGCCTCCTTCTCCTTCTCTCTACATGTATTATATAGGATAGTTTGTTATTTTTATGGGTGCGTACAGATGGTGATATACCAAGTAGCAGCTTGTGGGCATCTAGCCATGTTGGGGAGCCACCATCTGTCTGGTGCATCCGTCCCTGTGGTGAGGAGAACTGCATGGCTCCTTGGCTTTCCTGGATCCCCAGCTGGCTGGGAGTGTGTGATGGAATTCTTCTCAGCTTGCCAGCACGACAGGCGAACCGCACCTTGTGCAGTTGTGCCAAGTGAGCACTTGGGGAATGGTCCTCTGTATTCTCCATGTGTTGATGAGGTTTGGTGACCTCTGCGGGCTGTCTACGTAAATGAGGTTATGCAAGCTGTAAAGGTACCCTTGCTGCATAGAAATGCTTGTGTGCGTTCTACCTGAATTACCTAGAGAAGCAGGTGCACCTCCTCCACCTGCTGCTGCAGGTCTTTGGGTTGTGCTGGGTAACCCTCAGCAGTGGGGCCTCCAGCTCTGAATTTCCTGGAGGCTAGTTGGGCTGTCTAGCCTCCAAAGACCCTGCCAACTCCATGATTCCTTTGGATGCTTCCACTGACCATTTTCATCCTACTAAGCTAATAAGAATGTTGTTGTTGTTGTTGTGGCACCCCGGTTGTGGAATGAGCTCCCCAGAAAAGTTCCCCCAGTTCCTACATTGTGGCTGCCCCCCCCCCCCCCCCGCCCCACAGCATTTTAGTCTCTCGGTTACTGTGTTTTTAAATTTTGCACTGCTGCAAGGTTTTATTTATTTTTATTTTATACTGTAGTTTTAAACTTTTACACTCTTACATTGGATGGTATTATATTTTATGGTTTTAATTGCCAGAAACTGCCAAAGAGCACTGACTATTGGGACATATAGAACTGTAGCAATAAAATAAAATAAAATTTGTTCTTGAAAAGCCACCAGATTTCAGAATTGGCTTGTCAGATGCTGAACTGAAGGGATGAGGAAGTTGCTTTCAGAATAGGAGGCTTCAAAAGCCTCTTTTTATAGAGAGCTTTGGCTACTGGGCAGCATAAACAAAATGAAATGAAATGAAATGAAATGAAATGAAATGAAATGAGAGATCCTTTAAATCAGGGATGTCAACACTCTCTCAGCCCTAGGGCCAAATTTAATCTTGGAGAAGCTCTTGGAGATTACAGTGCACAGATGGACAGGTCCAAAGGCAAGAAAGGAGCTTCCAACATGCTAAAGAGGGGGTGGCCAAACTGAGGCTTGGGAGCCCGCAATGTGGTTCTTTGGGTTTATTTTGCAGCTTGGTGCTGTGGGCGCCCGTGGGCGCCTGCTTGCCACTCACCACCCACCCCCTCCACCCACTGTTTGCTGCTCGCCAGCATTGCCCATGAGCTTTCAAACATCTGACATTTACCATATGTGCCTCTTCTGTTCAGCAAACCTGGGCACCCCTGTATTAAAGCATTGCAGCTTAAAACACTTGCTGCTATTCAAAGAGCATTAGGTGAATGTTTCCATCCTTTCAGAACAGAAGAAAAAGCGCACAAAAGCTGGGAAACCCCCACATGATGGGGGTGGGGCCAAAGGGAAGGACATAACCATTTGGGGAACCTCCGAAGGCCAGAACGGGAGCCCAGGAGGGCCAAATAAGCCCACAGCCTGAGCATCTTTGGAATCTTTGTGAGCTGGTATGTTGTAGTGGGTGGAGCAGTCTTCCATGACCTTGTGGGCCTCCAGAGGTTTTGGTCTGCAATTCCCATCCTTCCCATTGGCCATGCTGGCTGGGAATAGTGGGCACAACAGTCCAACAGATCTGGAAGGCACCAGTGTTGGAACAGAGCTGGAGAGATTTCGGTTCATGAAATTCACTGGGTGGCCTTAGGTGATCCTAATAAAGTCATGCTATGTATTTTACAGTCGGATAAGACTTTTATTAGGATCAACTAAAAATGTCACCAAAGAGCGAGAACTGTTCATCAGGCTGGATGTTAAATAAAGCCGAGGTTAAATAAAGATGTTAAGAAAGAAGCTGCCGCGAAGTTGAAGCTGCGGAGTCTGTGTGGGGCTCCTGCATCCTCCCAAACTGGGCTTGCATTCTGCATTTGCCCTGCCTCAAACGTGGATTTTTTTACAGGCTGCAGGAATTGTTGCCTCCCATTCTTCCGTCTTCATGTCTTTCCAGAAAGAGGTGGAAAGATGAAATAGCTGCATTATGCCTTTTGACTAGGAGCCCTCAGGCTAGAGGCACCCCAGTCCTAGGATGGATTACGGAAGACAAGGCATGCAATCCAGTGCGTATCTGGACAGAAGGAGCCCCTGCAACTCCCAGCAGAGCTGTCTGGAGCTTGCTGGGAGCTGCAGAACAGTTTTTGGTCTCGGCATGCCCAGGACTGCCCCTTCCACGAGACGAAGGTCCACGAAGTGCTGTGTCCGTTTCAGGTTTCACTTAAGAATATCTCAAGGACTGCTGGGGCAAAGAGAGAAGTATGGTTGATCCCTCATTTTCGAAAATATAAAATCAGTTCATCCCTTTCATGCTGCTGGTGGCTCACAGGGAAAGAGCTAGAGGTTGGAAACTGCAGAGCCTCTTACGTTGGAGCCTTTTGTGCATGTAGCTGTGGCAAATAGCCATGGCAGAAAATTGATGTACCAGCAGAAATCAGCCGAAGGCAGTGTCAAAATATCTGATTAAAAATAAAATAAAATAGGGTATGGTTTTATTTTATATACAGCTTAGGGGCATCAGCTACAATATTGGTAGGAGAATGGAAAGAACAAATTAAATCTGTTAATGTGAAAAACCATAAGGAAGATCTTCAATCAGCCAATGGATTCCATGTATATTTTGTAAAATAAAGGGAAGAAAACATTCAGGGAACAATCCTTGGCCCATAGACATCAAGCATGAAGCTGGGAATCAAAAGTTCTCCTCTCCCCTCCCCTCTCTTCTCCTTGTGACCAGGATGGGGGGAACCTTGCTGGCTGCTCTCCAAGGGGGAAAACTGACCTTGGAGGAAGATTAAAGGAAGTGGGAAGGAGACCGAGGCAACAAGGGCACAAGATATCCTGAAGCCTTTCCAGCCTCTTCCCCTTCCCCACCAAGAAGCCACCTCTGCACCTTCATCTTTCTGTGTGGTGGGGACCTGAATATTGCCTCCATGGCTTCTTTTGTTCAGTATTGGTTGAGTGCTCCAGCTCACTTTGATTGGATGGTGCCCTAAGTCGGCAATCTTATACCCGGTTTGCTGAGAGTAAATCCCATTGAATTAAGTGGGGCTGACTTCTAAATAGATGTGTATTCAATTCCGCTGCAAATGCACTACCCAGATTTAATTTGATGTATTGTTTGTTTGTCTGCATTTGGAAAATCAATTTAAATATAATAAAAATATAAAAGCCAGCTATTACCTATTTTATAGCTCTTAAGAGTTCCCTTTGGAGTGGGGAGATTAGTTGACCTAAAATGCATCAAGGACTCCTTAGATTAACATTTTAGATTATAGGCATCTTTTATTAAAGCAGTAGTTATTTATTTCACTGGATTTCTTACACACACAAACATTTTTATTTAATCTCATGGAAGACTCATGAAGTAGTGTAGACGAGCACTACTTTCACATTTGATTTTTCGAGTTAGTGCTGCTTTTGACACACGCTATTGTACGCCTGCTCTTTACCTTTCTTCCCGTTCCCTCTCACCCTCCCCAACCAGGCTGCAAGCTCATCTTTCCTCCTTGGGATGGTGGCATCCGCTACCGAGGCTTGACCCGTGAGCAGGTGAAGAGCGCCCGCTTCCTGCCCTTTGACTACGAGATTGAATACGTCTGCCGCCCCGAACGCGAGATTGTGGGGCCCAAGGTTCGCAAGTGCCTGCCCAATGGCACCTGGACGGACAGCGACACTGAAAGCCGCTGCTGTGAGTCCCTTTTCACGGGTTGAGGAGACCTTCTGTAGCAGTTCACACATGCACCGGGGAGGGCAGTTCGGTGGGTGAGCGCATGAGAGTCGGCCTTCTTTGCAGTGGCCCCAGACTGGTGCAATTAGTTGCCATCAGGGGTCTTACGACTTCTGGAGCTCGGATTGCCCTCAACTCTGGGCAGAACAAGTGTGCACCAGCTCACAGATTTGACTTGGACCCTGATTGGATGCTTCAGATAACAACCCAGTTCTGCTCAGACTGACTTGGAGGCTCTTCGCTTTTCTCTCGTTGTCAGCACTGGGTGACATTTGCAGGCACTGTAGACATCAGAGGAGGATGTTTGCCAAATGGCAGCCAAATGGGTGTGGGGGATTTTGTGCAACTCGCCTTAAAAAAAAAAATTAAGTTTTAAAACTTCTTTGAAAACTTTTTCTTTCTTTCTTGGCAGAGTTAGATGGCATTTACACTGATCATTGCCCCTTCTTAGGGGCCAGGCCTGCCAAGTTTCTAATGCAGAGGCATGGGAATTGTGCAAGAGCAGCCTTGACGTGTTGCCTGTAAAGAATTGTTCTGAAAATGACAGGCATCCATGGGGTGTCCCTAAGCAGGAAGCCTATGAAATTTCAGCAGGGACAGTGGCTCATGTGGAACAGAGTCCTCAGTTTTTCATGCAGAGGAAGTAATTGGCTTCTGGTTCCCTTTCCACATGGTTTTGGGGGCAGTTTGTAAGAAAAAGATGCACATCGTGAAGATGTTTTAATAAATAAATAGATAGATAGATAGATAGATAGATAGATAAATGAATAAATAAATAAATAAATGTCCTCAGTCAAGGAAGCTTTGGAAGGATGGCCAGACACTTTAAGGTATTTTGATGACTGAAAATGAATTTAAAGCTTTTTGTCATAGTGGAGGCTGGAAGAAGGTATTGGAACTGTGCCTTCTTTGCCCACTCTCACAGCATAGTGAATGGAGCCACTGGCAGAATGTGCCCTGGGGATGGAAGATGGATCTGTCACTCACAGCTTACTCCCGACTCCCCAACCAACCAGCTCATCCATGGTTTGAAGCAAAAGATGCTCCTTGATACAGAGACAGAATATCTGCCTCTCTGAGCATGAAGTAGTTAATGTCTCATTCTGGCCTGGCTTAGGTTTCGGTGGCTTTGGAGGGAGGGTGTTGCACCTCAGGAAGCCCCAGAAATGATTGAAAAAATTGAATACTGCTCCGGCTTGGAATTTCATCCAAATCCAGTCTATATCCCTAGCCTTTAGCATGTTTAGCTTGTTCTTGTACTGATTTTTAGATTCGGTTTGCCTGCTCTGCTGTTTTTTAAAAATCCCTGTAGCTTTATTCAATTATAATTCAATTATAATTCAATTCAATTATTCATAGTCCATTATATTATCTCATAGTTTATTGTGAAGGCAGTTACATCAAAAGATGGGGGCAAAATCTTATAACCCACAGGTGAGGCACTGGGGACTGGATTGTCACCCAGGAGGTATCCTTAGAGCCTGCACTGTGTATGGCCAGAATCACAGTGGAACACACACACACACACACACACACACACACACACACACACTCATTCTGCACACACCAAAAGTCAATTGGCACCTCTTGGGAGCCACCACTTCAAGGTACTTCAGCTTATAATTGGTGGGGGATGATAGGAATTGTAGTCAAATGCATCTGTGGGGCACCAGGCTGGGAAAGGGTGCACTACTGGCAAAGGGCAGGACTGCTGCTGAAACTATCTGTAGATCAGCTTTCCCCAACCTGGTGGCCTTCAGAAGCATTTGAACTGCAACTCCCAGAATTCCCATCCAGCAGGGCCATTGACTGGGAATTCTGGGTGTTGCAGTCCCCACATGTCTGGAAGGGACAAGGTTGAGGAAGGATGCTGTGAAGCAGCTCCAAGAGACATCAGTTGCAGCATCAAGCTGCTTTCAGTAATATTGTGTAACAGTCCTGAAATGCATGTCTCTTTCCTTCTTCCCCTTGCAGTACGCACCTGTCCCAAGATGCACCTGAGCCTGGAGAACGGGCAAGTGCATGTCCGGGCAATAGAGCGGGTGCCTGTGGAGGGCACCTGGGTGGAATATCGCTGCAATCCCGGCTTTCACCTTGTGGGCAGTCCCCGCAGCAACTGCACCAAGGTGGGCCGCTGGAGTTCTGCCAAGCCTACCTGCGAACGTAAGTCACAAGGCAGGAACAGGGCGGTGGGTAAGCCCAGGCAGAGGGAGCCCGAGGTTCAGTGACTTCAGCAGCCCTTTCCACAAGAAAGAACATTTTTTAGGTATAGGGATTTATACTCCTGTCATGACAGACATACTTGAAGCTCTTTTTCATACTCTAGCTTCTCTCCCTCTGTTCTGCTGAGAATCGAAAGAGTAAAGGGATCTTTCTATTTTTAAAAACACCCCAGGTACTTTTATTGTTGAAAGAATAAAAGGTACGAGCTAGCACAGTTTTACAGTCATCCTTTTCCTAAGGAAAGTGTATGGGTTGGGGGAAGCCGCATTCTTTTGCAATTCTGTAGTTGCCCGGATTGTGTGGAGGAACTAGCAGGCAAAGTGCATCGGAGAAACCCCAGGGCTGCAGCGAGTATAGTGGGTGCACTGCTAGAATAAAAGCTGGTCGTTGGAGGGGAACAGCCATGGATCCGAGGGTATAGCATGGGGCGTCCTTGCGCTGCTCCCCGTGCCTCCCACGTCCCTCCCACACCTCTGCCAGTTTTAGCAGACGTATTTGGCAGGCATATCTGCCATAGCGTGAAGCTGTCAGCCTAGCTGAGGGGCTCCTGGTGAGCCCCAGAAGGCTGCCCCCGCCCTCCAGCCAGTCTAGGTCCCACGCAGGTCTAGGGTTGTATTCTTGTTTATTCAATGGTTTCGATCCTGCCTTTTTCATAGTGTGAATTCAGAGTGGATGCCATAATAGCTCATCACACCATAAGTGAAATGGGGTGGGGGGCAAATGATAGAATATAAAATTACAACAGAATCAATCGAGATCAAATAAAATGTCAGTGATGGAGGTAAATGTCATTAAAATAACAAAGCTGAGGGAGCAATCAATTGAAGCCCCCAGGAACAGTCATGTCTTTCCCAGACATCCAAAAGAGTTAAGCAGGGCACGGGAGGGCCAGGCCTGTTTTTGGCCTGAGGGGTGCGCACACACAATTCAGCGTTCAAAGGTCTTTGCCTGATGCCTGCCGAAGGGCTTTTTGCAAGCCTGTTTGCAACATGTGGAGATGTGTGTTTTTTGAGAAGAGCAATGATCTTTCCCTCCTCAGCTGTGACCCCCATATAAATCCTCCCACCTACCCATCCTGCTGCATTTAGGCTTGGAGAAGCCTTCAGCTGTTGTCAGTGGAAGGTGTTCTTGCTGACCTTGAATGTTGTCCCGCAGGGTGAGGCAAGGAGAAGAGGGAAGCCATAGGCTGGTAGGGAAGGTTTCACAGCCTGCATCCAGGCCTTGGCCTTGTTGCCGGGAGAGTCCCAGCACAGGAATACAGTGATGCACCTGATGCATCTCTCTGGCAGGGCATTTCACACAGCAGGGGCCACTGCCCACAAGGCTCTGCTCCCAACTGCAATGGCCATCTCTCATTCAGCAGGTGTGCCTGGAGCATGGCCTCAGGTGCTGGGTGGAGCTTGCTTCGAAGGACATAAGGAAGTCCTTTATACACCAGGGCCAAAAACGCTTCCAAGAACAGGCAGATCTCAGTTATCAGTCCCACTAATAAAAGTTGTGTTGCCAACTGAAGCAGGCACTCATTAACCCACTAAAATTTTAGAGGATTCTTTACTAATTAAATCAATCAAAGCTGCCAGTCCTGGATGTTTTTAGTCAACACTAGTGGTTGTTCCCCACATTTGACATAGCTTGATCTGTCATATGAAGAGCATGTCCTTGGGGAGGGGGTGAGAATATCCCCCCACATCTTCCTTGGGTCTGATTGCTTTCTCTCCTCACTCCCTTCTCTAGTGTGGCGTCCTCCCATTTCCAGATCCGGGTCAGGTGAGTTACTTTTCAATTGCTTTCCATTTTGCTCTCTCATGTCTACTAATCTCTTTCACCGTCATCCCTCCACCTTGCTCAGTCTTGGGCTTGTCTCCTGAATAGTTTTCCTGGTGGCACATGCAGGGCAGAGGGGCTGATCCCAAGGAGCCCAGTACCTGACAGGATGTTGATCCCTTCTGGGATCCGGACCCCAGTAGCTGGACTCCTTCTCTGACCCACAGCTCCACGGCATGTAAAAAATAGTTGCATGAGCATCCCATGAGAGAACATACAGATTTGACATTCCCCTCTAATCCCAGACTGACCTACATCCTCAGGCTGAAATGACATGCAGCTCAGCCTTTCTGGGTGCCGGGCTGGAGTGGCGGGTTAAGTGTAGCAGTTGAGATAAAAATGGACGACTTCCCTTTTGCAAGGGGTGAAGAACGGCCTTTGTTGGCAAGGCCATTTTTAAAATGTTTTGGCGATTAATAGCCTGCATCTTACAAGGAAATTGATCTCACACCTCAAAATCTGCTCATTGCCACAACTCCAGATAAGTGTGTTGGTGGGGAGATGTTGCTAGGAAGTAATGCATGACATGGAAGTGATCACACCAAAAGAATCCAGTGGAAACTTTTTTCTGGACTCTTCCACTTCAGGCTGCAAATACAGGAGGTGCATTTTGAATGCTCCCACAGGGGTTCCAGGAAGCGCTCCTTGTGCACACAACCACCATGTGTCCGTAAGGAGACTAGACTGGATCCTTCTCTTTGATGTGCTACTTTTCTACCCACAGGGAGGGGAGCTTAAGAATGAGAGAGAGGAGTTTCAGACATGTAATATCACACATGCTCATAGTCATGCTAACTAAGGGCGATGGGAGTTGTAGTCTAACACATCCAGAGGGCAACAGTTTTGAAAAGGTTTGTCATAATAATCTTCATTCCAATCTAAGGGTGGACTAAACACAAGGTACAGAAAAGCCTTTGTGTCAGCTTTTGAATGCAAAGGCTCAGTCTGGGAACAAGACAAAAGAATGGACATTATCTGTTTGAAGCACACACAGAGTGCCTTTCCCTCACAGCTGAATAAAAAACCATCAATCCCCAGACATGAAGGAACGCTGAGCTTACAGTTTAGGAAACATGATACCCACCTGACCTGTGAGCATCCTTGAAGGAGCTCAGGGATTCCCCAAACCCTGTTTTAGCCCCACAACAATCCTGTGGGGTAGGCTAGGCTGAAAGGGAGTGGTTCACCCGGAGTCATCTGGTGAGAATCATGCCTGAGTGGGATCTGAATCCGCGTCTCCTCACTCCTTGTCCAACACCCTATCCAATTCACACTCCGTGTATACGCAACCCTTGGCAATGCTCTTAAATTACGCATAGCTGTTTGCAGTGTTCTGGCTCTTGTTTTTGATGTATTGGGGCGGGCTGAGGGGGAAGAATCAATACTCTGCTAAAACATATGCTGTAAATCGTCTACTGGGAAAAAATCTGCCCCCCTGCCCCTATTCAGGTACAGATTTAGCGCTCACGGGGTCTCTTTCAGTCGCCCATGTAAAGGAAGCGCCACCCACACTCTTTCCGTGTGCCTTAGATGCATCTCAACTGTTGCTTTTCAAGGGCAGTGTCCATTTTTCTGAATGTGGGACACACCTGCCCAGAATTCTTGATCACAGATGCTGTTTGGCGCAGCATCGCTTGTGTGGCCAGAGCCTCCATCAGGCCCCATTTGCATGCATGCTTTGTCTCTCAGACAAGTTGGCATCTTGTTGCAGGGATGCCACTTCCTCCATCTTGCCTTCTGAGTCATTTCTGGTGCTTTCATGAAGAGTGAGATCAGCTCTTTGCTCAGTCCACAGGTTGGGAGGACTTTGGTGTGGGCCTGTGATGTTGTACAGGTTGTGTACTTCCCCTCTGCTGCCAGGAACTGGCTTGGGAGACTGCAAATTGTTCTTCCCACTGAGTCATCACCGGGGTGGCCTTGGAATGACTGGAGACATAGAATCTGCCTTGCACCGGGTCAGGGGACTGGCTGTGCAGCTTGCTTTTGTTCACTTTGACTAACAGTGGCCCCGACGCAGTGCTGGGTCTGGCATCAGGGGAAGAGGCATGGCTGGGCACCGGCTGAAGGCCCACAGCCCCGTAGGCAGGGCCCCCCGGAACTTGCCCTTCCTCTCCACTGGTACAACCTGCCCATTCCCCTGCCTCCTGCTCGGCCCAGAGAAGGGCAGTGGCGAGAGGGAGGAGGTGGAGCTGCCCCAGCCAACTGGCTCCCTAGTTGTCCAGCGAGCCAGAGGCAGCCGTGAGGAGAAAGAGCAGGAGGTGCAAAAGTTGCCCTGAGGTCAAAATTGAAGAGCAGAATGCAAATGCAAAACTTCTCGAAGTTATTTCAAAGCATTTCAGGACAATGCATATGTTGCATTTCTCCCAATTTAATCTCAAGTCTAATAGATTTCTGGGCAGACAGAATTTGGGTGGCTAATTCCACATGGCCCATGAGAGACTGAAGGGTCCCTCGTTGTATTTAGGCAGTGTGGTCAAGCTCCTGGAGGGCGTGAACCCATTGAGGGTGCCTCGTCCAAGGGCCTTCGGACCCGTGGTGCTGGCACTGCTCTTTGGGGCCCCATGCAGAGCTTCCTCCCATCTCCTGCTCCCTGATCCTTTGGACGCAGGGCTGGCAGCACATGCCCTTCCGCCTACGTGCTCCCCCAGCCAGCCTCCTCTGCAGCCCCACTGTCCTCCCACCACTGGTGTGATGGTGGCAGCAAAAAAGCGGCAACTTGCTGTTAGCAGTGCAGCAGCAGCCCGAAGAAGTGGCCCAGGACGCCAGGTCTTCGCATGACGCCGCACTCCTGGGACCTGATTTTGGTTGAAAACAAAGTGCGTGCGCCCAGAATGCTTTGTTCTCAAGGGAAATCGTGGTGAGTTTGGCTCTGATTGTGCCACAATCTTTCTGCACCTGACTGTGGCAAAATCCGCAGTGGGGCAGCATGGTGTCCTGACCCCAGGAGCGTCAGAGGCCAGAGTGTCCCCTGGATGTGTCCACTTCTGTTGTTCCTGGAGATCATGGCAGGACTGAACTTGGGGCCTTCCTTCTGCATGCAGGGCATGTGCTACTCCATCAAGCCATGCACGGTCTGACAAAACTGTTGCCCAGCAGCAGCCCAGCAAGGCTCACATCTGTACCATCTGCCTGGAGGGTGCCAAGGGCTACTCCCACACCCCACCATCCATAAGGGGACGGATTGCTTGAGGGCAGTGGATCCTGATGCACCCCTCAAAATGCTCTAGCCGTGCTTCTTGGGCTGGGGGCCTTCTGCTCTGATCCCTCTCCAACCCTGTTGGATCCTGCCATTGAATTAACCTCATGGGGGCCATTGGTGCACCTGGCAGCGGCTCTCCAGAATTTCAGGCAGGGTCTTTTTCAGCTGCACCAGGAGATGCCAGGGCCAGGACCTGGGATCATTCACAGGGCAAGCACTTGCTCGCCCACTGAGCTGCAGCCCTCCTCTTGCAACCCGTCGTGTTCTCCTTTGTGCAGAGAGACGTCCAGTGCCTCCACTTGCATTTTACAGATTCTAGCTTCAGCTGCTGGTTCATACTATTCCGGCTGCTTCTACTGTGCTTCAGAGATTCTTTTTATCCTGTCTTATTTGTTTCATCAACCTCTCCTTGAGATAAACCCTTTTTTCTTCCTGTTTGCTTGCTTGCTTGCTTTCTTCCTGTGAATCTAGAGAGGCTTGACTCCTCCTGCTATAAAGAATGCCGAGTGGGGAGTAGTCAGTAACTCCCCCTTCCTACCAAAGCAAGAAACAGCTGTATTTATATAGGAAATATTATGCGTTCAAAGGGCTTCTTGTAAGGCAGGTTAGGCTTTAAAAAAGCCCCGCATGTTGCAGAAGGTGTGACTGAGGCTCAGGGAATAGGAGCCTGCCGTAGGCCACCTGAGGAGTTAATGAGGGAGGGAACATTTTAACCCAGGACTTACTGGCTGAAAGAAAACAAAAAATAACAAGATGAAGCAAAACCTTGCTCCTATTCAGATGTCCTCCACACATCATTGAGTGAAGTATGCTGTAGGCTGCCGCAAGCTGATCCCAAACTGAACTCCAGGATGCCAGTGGTACCCGATGGCAGCCCACATGGCAAAGCACTCGCTGATAGGAAGGCAGCCACTTGTCCACCTTGTGCTCCGGCTTTGCAAATGTCGGCTTTCGCTTGAGAAATGGCGGGTGCAGTATGTGCACCAGTCGAGATTCCCTGAGTGTTGTCCTTTCCATAGCACAAAAGGTTTCAACATGGCCTTCAGGATTGCAGAAGGCCTTTCCCTGAACTTCCCAGGTCCAATAATTTCAGTTGTTGTGGCCTGATGATGTGGACAAGGTGCTTGGACAAGTACGCCCTACCACTTGCTTAGTAGACCCATGCCCATCCTGGCTACTTAAGAAAGCCAAGGACGGGATTGGCACCTGGATCCTGGAGGTGGTCAACGCCTCTCTAAGGGACAGTTGGGTACCGTCCTCTTTAAAAGAGGTGGTAGTCCGGCCAGTCCTAAAGAAGGCATCCCTGGATCCAGAGATGGCCACCAATTATAGACCGGTGGCCAACATCCCGTTCCTGGGCAAGGTGCTAGAGCGGGTGGTGGCGGGACAACTCCAGGCACTCTTGGATGAAACTGATTATCTGGACCCATTTCAGTCTGGCTTCAGATCCGAGTACGGCACTGAATCTGCCTTGGTCGCCCTGTATGATGACCTGTGCAGGGAGAGAGACAGGGGGAGTGCATCCCTGTTAGTTCTCCTGGACCTCTCAGCGGGTTTCAATACCATTGAGCATGGTATCCTTCTGAATAGGCTGGAGGGATTGGGAGTTGGAGGCACTGCTTGGCAGTGGTTCCACTCCTACCTCAACAGCCGATTCCAGAAGGTGGTGCTGGGGGACTTTGGCTCTGCGCCATGGCAGTTATGCCATGGAGTTCCGCAGGGGTCCATTTTGTCCCCCTTGCTATTCAACGTCTACATGAAACCACTGGGAGAGGTCATCAGGAGGTGTGGGCTGCGGAATCATCAGTACGCTGATGGTACCCAGCTCTGCCTCTCATTTTCCACCAATCCAGGTGAGGCAGTGGCTGTGCTGAACCGGTGCCTGGCCGAGGTAGTGGGCTGCATGAGGGCCAATAAACTGAAGCTCAATCCAGACAAGACGGAGGTCCTGTTGGTGGGTGGTTCGGGACTCGGGATGGGGGACTTGGGCCTTGTCCTAAATGGGGTTGCACTCCCTCTGAGGGACAGGGTTTGCAGCTTAGGAGTGCTCCTCGACCCAGAGCTGTCTTTAGAAGCCCAGGTGATGGCGGTGGCGAGGAGCGCTTTCCTTCAGCTTCGGCTGATCCATCAACTGCGTCCCTTCCTGGAGAACAATTGCCTGGTGACAGTGACACATGCATTGGTAACTTCTTGATTAGATTTCTGCAACGTGCTCTATGTGGGGCTGCCCTTGAAGACAGTCCGGATACTTCAATTGGTGCAGAATAGAGCTGCCAGGTTGCTGACGGGGACTGGGCATTGATCTCATATAACCCCAGTTCTCCATCAGCTCCACTGGCTCCCGATTGAAGTCCGGGCCCTATTCAAGGTGTTGGTTATGACCTATAAAGCCCTCAACAGCTTGGGCCCTGGGTACCTAAAGGAACGCTTGCGACCATATATGCCCTCCCACTCCTTGAGATCAGCAACAGATGCCCTTCTCCGGGAACCCTCTGTGAATGATATTAGGAGGGTGAGTACCCGGAGGAGGGCCTTCTCCGCAGTGGCGCCCCACCTATGGAATGCGCTCCCCAGAGAGGTCCGCCTGGCGCCGTCGTTATTTGTTTTTCGGCGCCAGGCTAAGATCTTTTTATTTAAAACTTATTTTCAGTGTTAATTTATTATGTAGGATTTTAAAAAAATTTAAGCCGAGATGCACCAGGTTTTAATATTTTTAGTGTATAATTTTTGTATAATTTTGTATGTTTTTGTATTTGTTGTGAGTTGCCCCCAGGCTTTGTTGCAATGGGGGCGGCATAGAAATGTTTTAAATAAATAAATAAGGACTTTCTAAGTATTCAGCATCCACAGAGCTGCCAAAGTTCTCTCTTTGACTTAGACTAATAAATATTCATCGATACTCCCCTCTCCCCCAGAATGGCTTTAGAAATGTTGAAAAGGCAGTAGGGGATGAAAGAGCATCCCTGAGTGGTGAGGGAGGGATTTTGCTGGAGCCTTGGAAGTTTACAGTTCCTAAGCCTCAGTGGCAGTAGATGAGAAGCAGTGATCCATGTTGGATGCCCACTACAGATGCCTACAGTCTAAGCAGCTTGCATTGTACTGTGCTTGTGAGCTCCATTACTCTCAAGCCTTTGGTTCTTCATCTATTGGGTGGGCATAGAAAGGGGAACCATCACTGGGAGGTATGCAGTTGAAACCAAAGGTATAAAGGATCTTATACTAAAAAAGGATGTGTTGAACTCTGGATGTAAAACTAGGCTCAGATCCCATTCATCCGTGCAGCTCTGTGGGTGCCTTTGGGGCAAGACAGTATCTCTCAGCTCATTCTTCTTCATTGCTATGTTAGAGTGGGACATGCTATAAGCCATTCTGAGCTTCTTAGGAGGGAAATTAGCAACTGATGCAATGAACACACAATGCATTTTTCCACCTAGCCTTTCACTGCATTCCTTGGATGGGGTACACAGCCCCCTCCTGGTCCTTGGATGGGGTACACAGCACCCCTTCTGGGATGACAATGTGCCTTCAAGAGTGCACCCCCACCCCGCATCCCCCGCTGCCTATGTCCTGGTAGGTAACTAGAACGTGCTGCAGGCAGATACTGGTGGAAAGGCCTTTCCCAGAATGAGTCGTTCCCCGTCCCGTCCACAACATACAGGGCAACCTTGTGGGTCCCTCCATCACGTTCTGGACCAGGGCTTTCCTCCTCCATGTCCCTCCAAGCCGCTAGTGGGATGATGGAGACATGTGCATGATGGTGTTGTACAGTGGGATGAGCAATCCTGTTTCTTGTGGTTGGACAGCTTTATAGAACACAGAAAGGCTATTTTGACTGTTGCATCTTAATAGCAAATACTGTATGTACTTAAGTTCCAGAACCGTCTGCCTCAGGAGTCAAAGCTTTTCTAGCAACTGGCCTCCCCACAACTGTCAAAACTAGCAAACACATTAAAACTGGGGGGGAGGGGGGGAGGCAGAAGGGAGCTCTGTAGGTATTTTGGGCTTTCAGGGGCTCCCAGAAGCCACTGCCAGCATGGCCAATGGTCGGGAAGGGTGGAA